GACAAAGGAGCCAAACGCATTCACTAGAGGAAATATAGCCTCTTTAATAAATGGTGCTGGAAAATTTGGGTTTCAATTTGCCAGACTTTAAAACTAGACTTATATCTCTCACCATGTACTAAAATAAAATCAAGATGGATCAAAGACCTAAACATTAAAAAAGAAACACTAAACTGGGTGGAAGTGAGGTTAGGTAGAACTCTTGAAGACAATTGTATAGAAAAAGATTTCATGAACAAAATATCAGTCACAAGTAAACTCACACAAATAATCAACAACTAGAATCTCCTCCTCTTTAAAAGTTTCTACAGAACAAGAGAAACCACCAACAGCATGAAGAGACAACACACAATGTGGGAAAAGTATTTTGCCAGCTGTTCCTCAGACAAAGGTCTACTATCTACATAAAGAACTCACCAAAATTAGACCTCCAAAATTTAAAAATCAATACCAAAAATTATTATCTGAAATGAACAGAAATTTCTCAAACAAAGAAGTAGAAACAGCAAATAAACATATGAAAAAATGTTTGACATCACTGTTCACCACAGAGATGGAAATGAAATTGAAATTCTACTTTACTCAAGAAAGAATGGCTGCTATCAAGAAATCAACCAATGACAAATGGTGGCAGGGTAGAGGTGAAAAAATAAACCCATCTTCATTTTTGTTTTGTTTTGTTTTGTTGGTACTGGGGATCAAACTCAGGACTGAGTGGTTGGATGGCAGCCACCAGAACCACTGAGCTGAATCCCTAGCCCCACCCTTCTTCATTTTTAGTAGGAGTGTAGCCTGGTGCAACCACTGTGGAAATCAGTATGGAGATACCTCCAAAACTACTAGTAGAAGTTCCATTTGACCCACCTATTCCCCTGCTGGGTGTCTTCCCGAAAGATATAAAAGAATCATATCACAGCAATATATGTGATATGTAATAAATACATACATATTTATAGCAGCATAGTTTGTAATAGTTAAAACTTGAAAGCAGTCCAATTGTCCATCAACAGGAGATTCGATAAAGAAAAATGGAGTATTACTCAGCTATAAAGTATGAGAAACTAGAGACATTTATAGCTCAGTGGATGCACATTGAGGACATAACCTTAAGTGAAATAAATAGGACATACATGTACAAATACCAAACAGCTTCTCTGGTGTGAAAAACTGAAAGTGTAAACAAAGATCACAATGTATAATTGATAATATGAAATAGGAAGAAAATGTACAAAGGGAAAGGGAGAAGTGGAAGGGGTAGGAAATGAAAAAAGGGAAAGAAAGAAATATGAGAAAAGGAAAAATGGAGCCAAAATCTTTGTAAATAGTAAGGGGTGAAGGCATTGGAGGGAAGACATGGGAATGGAGAAAAAAATAAGAACCAAGATATATCATGTAAAGGTACAAATTCCCACTGATGAATGTCATCATATTTTATACCTAAAATGTACAAATAATCTTAATGAATAGAAAAGAGATCAACTGAAAGGAGCAGCAGTCCCAATAGGAAGAAATACGAATGGCCAACAGGTATGTGAAAAAATGTTCAACATCTTTTGCCATTAGCAAATGAAAATTAAAACAAAGTTCTTACTCTAGAGAATGACAATCATCAAGAAATAAAAAAATTTACAATGGCATCCAAAAAATTGAAATACCTAGGAATCAACCTAACAAAAGAAATCAAACATCTCTACTTTGAAAACTATAGCACTTTGAAAAAAGAGATTGACTAGTGTAACCGAAAATGGAACGGAATCCCTTGCTCCTGGGTAGGAAGAATCAATATACTGAAAATGGTCATACTTCCAAAACTACTATATAGATTCAATGCAATCCCAATTGAAATTCCAGCAGCATACTTCACAGACCTGGAGGAAACAAATCCAAAACCTCATTTGGAACAAGAAGAAAACTAGAATAGCAAAAGCAATGCTAGGCAATAAAAACAGGTAGGGGGTATCACAATTCCTTATGTTAAACTATACTACAAAGCTACTGTAATAAAAACAGCATGGTACAGGCAAAAAAACAGACCTAAAGACCAGGTGAATAGATTAGAAGATGCAGAAACAACTCCAGACACACTTAGCCACCTCATATTTGAGAAAGGAGCCAAACACCCTCATTGGAGGAAAGATAGCCTCTTTAATAAATGATGCTGGAGATAATTGGGTTTCAACTCGCCAAAGACTAAAACTAGACCTATATCTCTCACCATGCACTAAACTAAAATGAAAATGGATTAAAGATCTAAATATTAAAATAGAAACCCTGAACTGGCTGGAACAGAGGTTACGTAGAACTCTTGAAGACCTTGGTGTAGGAAAAGATTTTATGAACAAAACCTCAGTTGCCTGTGAACTAGCACAAACAATCAACAAGTGGGATCTC